AAATTGGCAACCCCAACAAAATCTTAGTCAGGCAATAGTGTCAAACCTGTGGACTGTGAAACCCCTGCCACAATGAATAAACATCAAAGAAAAGACACCAGAAACACGAAAAATCAAGGAAGTACACCACCCAAAGATAATAACTCTCAAGCTCTAGATCCTATAGAACAAGAAGCCCTTGAAATGACTGACAAGGAACTTCAAGTGATAATTCTAAGGAAACTGAATGAGATACAAGAAAACTCAGCTAGACATCATGATGAAACGAGGAAAAGTATACAGGACCTGAAAGAAGAAATGTACAAGGAAATCAATGCCCTGAAAAAAAATGTAGCAGAACTTGCCGAATTGAAGAAGCTATTCAGCGAAATAAAAAACACAATGGAGAGTTTAACCAGCAGGCTTGAGGAAGTTGAAGAGAGAACCTCTGAACTTGAAGATGGGCTGTTTGAAATAACACAGCAGACAAAAAAAAGAAAAAAGAATCAAAGGCATTGAAGAAAATCTGAGAGAGATATCAGACAACTTAAAGCGGACTGAGGTGCTTCTTACCTTGATGTGTGGGATCCTTCATCTTCAAGCCATCAGTGGTGCATTGACTCCTTCCTGTGCTTTGAATCTCTGACTTCTGCCTTCTATTCCTGCTTTTAAGGGCTCATGTGATTACATCTGGCCCACCCAAATAGGATAATTTCTCTATTTTAAGGTCAGCTGATTAGTAGTCTTAATTACATCTGCAAATCCCTTTGCAGGACAAAGAGGGCCAAGACCAGAACCACCCAGGATCTGCATCCAAAAGGAGATGAGCAGGCTCCAGGATGGCAGACCCTATGGACTGGGTGACCCAAAATGTCTCCATTTCTGACAAAAGTGTCCCCGAGCCCCGTGGAGGGTTTGAGCAGAGCCCACCCTGCCCAGCCCCACTCAGCACACAGCTGAAAGGCACAGACAAACCTGGGAGGGCTGCTCCCTCCTGGGGAAGCCCCAAAACCTACGACTATGATGCCTTTGATGGTAAAAGGGCCTTTGCAGACGGGATTCAGTTAGGGATCTTGAGACTCAGAGGCTGTCCTGCACTATCTGAATGGGCCCAAGGTGAATCCCAGAGCATTACAAGAAAAGGTCAGGAGGACCAGAGTCAGAGGAGGTGTGAGGATGGGAGCAGAGGCCCGAGTGATGCAGGGCAGGGGCCGAGAGCCAGGGGTCTGGGCACCCCCACTGCTGGAAAAGGAGGAGAACAGATCCTGCCCTGAAGCCTCTAGAAGGAACCAGCCTGCGGCATCTTGAACTTAGCTGTGACACTGCCTGGACATCTGGCCTCCAGAACCATAAGAGGATAAGTCTGTGTTGTTTTAAGGCATCACGTTTGGGGTGGTTTGTTACAGCAGCCACAGGACACTCACGTGGGGGCTGGAGGGTGGCAGGGTCCTCTGCTTTGGCCTTTGCCTACCTGGTCATCACCTGGAATACTCTTTGTCCTTCGGATTTCAGGTTAAAAGTCCCTCCCCCATCACTCTGTCCTGGTCCTGTTCCCAGCCCCTGAGAGCTGTGGAGGAGCCGGGGGGACAAGTGCAACGCTAGGGGGGGACCCACCTGTGCTGGGGGGGGACCCACCTGTGCTGGGGGGGACACACCTGTGCTGGGGTGACTGCACCTTGGGAGGACCCTGGCCCCGTCTCCCCACGCTCACCTCGGCTGCCCTGCGGTGGTCCTCGTCAGTGCTCAGTGCGAGCGCGTCCACACCCAGACAGTGGAGGCTCCGTGCCAGCCCCTGCAGCATGCTGTCACAAACCATGCAGAAGGCCCTGGTGGAGACCTCGGGGATGATGGCCTCACCCACGGCCACAGGTACCTGCCACAATCCCAGGTACCAGTCAGCAGCCCCGTGGCTTCTCCTGCCCAGCTACCCCTGCGGCTGCCTTGATTCTTTGGAGTGTCACAAGCACAGTGTAATCCTCACAGAAAGCAAAAATACACAAAATCACACGAAGCCACCCAAGAGGGAGCTCTAGTTCTCACACTAGTGGGACCTCCACACGTGTCTCGGGGGTCCTCTGTGCAGTGGAGTTGGGTCGGTGGGGTCCGCTGGGACGCCTGGGGAGTCCTACTCTTCCTGCCACAGCCCTGCTCGCCTTGCTGCAGGCGTGGGGTCCAGCGTGGAGGAGCCCCTGGGTTTATGGACAGTGACCCGCCTCCCCAGGAATCCTGATGAAGGGACCTGAGAGGCTCCACTCACCTGTCTGGGCACGGTGGAGGCCTCCTTCAGGCCAGGCGGCTCCTGGGGCCTGCTCTCTTGCTGTGCCTGGGCTTCTGGCTCCTGACCACGCCCCCAGGCAGGTGGAAGCGGGCAGCCTCCCTGCACAGGGTTTGGTGCACCTCCAGCAGGCAGTAGGCATTGGCAGCTGGTGGGCAGGGTCAGCCTCAGCCTCCAGGGTGCAGAGGGCAAGAGGGCGCCGACTGGCCCGGCCCTGCCACCCCGCGTGCCAGTATAGATGAGCTGCTCCTCATCGAGTGGCCGCTGGCCCCAGTTGGAGAGCATTGCACCTTGTCCAGGGGTGTGCCCAGCACCTGCTGCACCAGGAGGCTCAGGCCTCTCAGACCCCTGGGGCCGGCACATTCGCCACCTACATCTGCCAAGACAGCGCCCTGCAGGGTGATGCACCTGGCCTGCACTCACCCACGCCCTGCTATCCCCTGGTGGGGGGCTCTGGAGAGGGCCCTGCCCCTTCCACCAGCAGCCAGAGCAGGGGAGGGAAGGGAAGAGAGAGGGGACACAGATGAGAACGGGCTGTGTGCCGGGGTCCCAGGGCCTTGGTTACCTGTGCACCTGAAGGCGCAGGACCCAAGGCTCCTCTGAGCAGAACCCAGAGAGCAGCTCCAGGAAAAGCACCCCCATGGCACGCATCATCTGGATGGCCTCGGGGATGTCTGCCTGGGCAGCAGTGCTCCCCCTGGGGGACACTGTGGGTGCAGCTACCGCTGGGCACTGCTCTGGGGCCCGGGTGACCTGTGGCTGAGCAGACAGAAATTTGGCTGGGGAGAAGGGCCAGGGCCGCTGGGAAAGTGCTGAGGCCACAGACAAGGTCTTGACCCGCAGACCCCCCACCAGCCTGTGGTGAGAGACCACCCCCTGGGTGCTGCTGTGTGGGCAGCTCAGCAGGGAAGGAAGTAGCTCCCTCCAATGACGAAGCCCCCCAGGCCACCCCTGCTCCTGCTGACCTGCCTGTGCAGCTGCAGCACGTCCACACCCCCCTGAACCTGCTTCTCCATGTGGGCCAGGGCGGGGCAAGAGGCACCCAGGCTTCGCAGGTCCCCCACCATCCCATAACCTGTCGGTGTGAGGGTGCACTGCAGACTGGGACAGGCACAGCCGCCCCCGGCCCAGGGCACACGCAGTACCCCTGCCTGGGGTACACAGAAGGGAGGGGCCGGTGCAGGAGTGGGGGCTCCAGGGGGCTTCGCTCACCCAGCTTAGTGATGGAGGGGTCCGAGAAGAGCTGGGACACCAGCTGGGAGAAGGCCTGTGCCACCTGCCCTTCCAGGGGCTGTGACAGCGTGAGGATGTCCAGCAGGAACACCCAGCCCTCCATGGCCATCTGCAGGAGCGACACCCGGGGCCTTGCTGCCATGAACAAGGGCGTCCATTCCAGGTCCACACCAACCACCTGGCCGGGCTGTGGACACAGGGGTGGGCTCTGGGGGACGCTGCCTCCGCACGCTTGCGGGGCTGGCTGTGGGGCACCCTGGCTGCCCCTCGCTCTGCATGGCCAAAGGAGGGAGGCCTGGCTGTCTGTGTCCCAGGGCCCCATCTGTGAGAGGGACCGAGAGTGCCTTTGCAGGCTGGTGTGAGAATCCGGCAAATGCAGTGCCTGGTGTGTCACCAACACCCGGCATACGCTGTCCCTGCTGTGGGCACCCTGGAGGGTGGGGACAGAGCGAGGCATGAGGGTGCCTGGGAGGACCAGTGCCCAGGGCCAGGTCTCTGTGACCACGGCCTGTGCGGGCAGCAGGCCTGCCCCAGGCGGCCGAGGCGCCCACCTGCAGCAGCTTGTCCTGGTGCCTGGCCAGGTCCTCCCATGAGGCCAGGAAGTGGATGTCCTCCCTGGCGATGGCAGCTGGTAGTAATTGCTTGCCATGTTCTCTGGAGGATCTTCACACCTTGAGTTGGCCTCGGCTGCCCTGGGGGGAGCAGAGCTGGTGGCATCCCGTGGCCCTGAGTCCCCGATGCCCCCACCCCACTCTGACTGGCCCAGGCAGACCTGGGGGGGGCACTTAGAGCCCGCTCAGGGGCGGGGGTCTCACACCTGCTCTTCCAGCTCCCCATGTGGCCCCCGCTCCTGCCCCCTCCTCGGGGCCCTGGCATCGTCTGCCCTCCCAGACCCCAGGACAGCCGCCTCCTTGAGCCCTTGGGGGTGTCTAGCCGCAGGGTCTGCAGATGGCAGGAGGACGTGCGAGTCCCGCTGGTGTTGCTGCTCTGTGTGTAACTGCATTCTGGGGACAGGAACGTCGACCCCCCCATTGTTTTCTCTCATTTTCTAATTCTTGCCCCCACCTGGCGCTCACCTCCTCTGGAGCCTGAACTGGCCGAGCCCCTCTGGCAGCGAGAGGTCCAGGGTGCCCTGGGTGGCTGTAGCCGGGCTGCAGTGAGAGGCCAGCAGCTGCTGCAGCTGCTCCTGCAGCCACAGGCTCTGTCCCACCAGGCCCTGTGTGAGGGTCGGCCATGAGGACAGGGACAGGGATGCGTGCCGCGCCACCGGCTTTGCCCAGACCTGGCTCTGCATCCTCAGGGGAGGGGACACTGCCCACCCCAGGGTGGCAGCGGCTCTGCATGACCCATCTGGCTGAGATGGAGATGCTGAAGCGAAGAACTACCTGCCCCGAGCACCCGCAGCCCACCTCGGCCTGGCCCCCGCCCCCCCCTGCCGTGCCAGGAACCCCCCCATGGGCCCTGATCCTGGGGCCTCTGCCCCAGACCTAAAACCAGGACTGTCTTCTAGAACACTTGTCCAGCCTGCTCCTCCAGCCTCTGCCCCTTCCCCCGTGGGCACCCCCAGACCTTTTCCCTCCTTGTCCTCTGGGTTGGGGCAGGTGAGGCGCGGACACCCACACACCCCATGGTCCAACCAGCACATAGAGGGCAGCGCTAGGGCGGTAGGGATGAGGACACCGCATTCTCGCCCCTCCTGCTGGCTGCCCCACACCAGTGCCCAGTGCCCTGCCCAGGTGCAGAGATGCCCTGCGGCTGGCAGGAAAATCCAGGGTAAGGTCCACATGGGCACCGTGGCAGTCTTCAAGTCCATGAGGTCATGGGCTGGCCCTACTGGGGGAGCGGGGATGCCACTCTCCCCAGGAGTCTGAGCCCCTTGTCCTCATGACCTCTGACCCGTGTGGCCTCAGCGTTCCCCGAGGAGTCCCTGCCGGCCCACCTGCGCAGAGGGCTGCGGTTCCGCAGCGGCCTGAGGCCGTCCTCTCCCCCCAGGCCGCAGGTTCCCACGTGGATGACAATATGTGGAAACGCCTCCGCATTCTTCAGGATGTCCGCTGCCCTTCCGCCCGCTCGGCCTTGGCACCCCGGGGGGACTGGCCTTCCGGCCTCACCCAGAGGGCTTGCATTCCTCTCTGGTGACTCACCAGTCGCCCACCCCTCCCGTCACCCCTGGGCAGCTCAGCTGCCCCAGCTGGACCCACTGAGGGCCAGTTCTGGCCAGACAGCGGATGCCGCGCCGCCAGCTTTGGGGGAGGCTGGCCCGACTCCACCGACCAGCCCACAGCTCCTGTGTGCCTCGTGCAGCCCTCCAGGACCCCCACCCTCCTATGAGGCCATGTCACCTCAGGGTCTGGGGACAGCTCTGCACCCCATGAGATAACCCCAGGACACCAACAGAGGCCAGGCTGCTGTGCTCTGCTGGGTGTGCTGCCCTGAACAGCCCTGTACACGGCCCCAGCTCTACCCTACGCCCTGCCACGTGCATGCACATGCCCCGCCTGCACACACGCACGCTGCGTGCGGTTCTGTGCAGTCAGGCAGCTTTTGCGCCCTGGGTTTCTGTGATCTGGTCACTGAGGACCCCACTCCTGCCCGGCAGCCACAGCAGCTCCTCAGGGCCCCTGAAAGCTGCAGGAAAGCTGTCTGGGCCACACACCCACCCCACCCAGTGCACACGCAAGCCACACACCACACGTGCCTCCACGGGCCATGCAGATTGAGCAGGGCTTTCTGAAAGTCCAGTGGGCACAGACAGGGCTGTCTGGACTCACCTGCACGTGGTCGGTCCAGTTCTCCTGGGACATGCTTTTCTGCAGAAGAAACGGGAAGATGACAATTCCAATGGCCCCTCACCCTTGTCGGGCCCAGGCAGGGCCGAGTCCTCACCACAGTGGCCAGGCACCTATGTGGCACCCGGTGGTCCAGCTGCCTGGTGCGGCTGGTGGAGCCTGTGAATGGGCAGCTGGCCAAGCTCCCTCGGCCGTGGGCAGGTGAGGATCAGCCTCTGCTCAGGCTGTCCTGGGCACCTCACACGGCCGGGAACACACAGGCTGGCCGCTCCCCCACACCCCTCCCCAACTCCTAGCAGGTGCTCAGTAAGCACCTGAGGCCAGAGGTCATGGCTCGTCTCGGCCACTGGGCACAGGCCCACCCTGTGTGCTCGTGGGGCCCTGTCCTGCACACGCACCTCCACGAACCACTTGTAGCACAGGCACTGCAGGGCTGCCAGGCGCTCCTGGGTGACAGCATTGGGACACAGCGCTGGAAGAGAGGGCAGCACTCAATGCTGGCCAGGGGGAATCGGGCAAGCCGAGGGCTTGGGCCACCGCTCACGCAGAGACAGGAGGGCAGGGGTGTGTGTGGCTTTGTGCTGTCTCCCCTCTACCCTTGACCGCACACCTGCCCACTGGCCCCAGCCTCTGCTGGGGCCAATTCCACCCAAGGTCAGGGTCACACCTCCTGCATAATGCCCCAGAGCCCCGCCTACCAGGCCCTGAGCCACTCCTGGGGTCTCACGTGTGCTGCCACAGCCCGTAGCCTGTCCCCAGCGGCCTCTGCACAGGCTCGCTGGGGGCAGCTGCCCTTCCTCTAGTGCCCTCCTGCCTTTGCTGCGGGGCGGTTTGCTTCCTGCCCGTCTCCTACTCGAATGCCGCCTCCTTGAGGAAGGGCCTTGGGCTCGTGGCAGCTCCCAAGCACCATGGCCTCCCTTCACATTGTCTCAGAGCATGGGGACCTGGGAAGGACATCTGCCAGCCGCTGCTCTTCCTCCAGTTGTCCTGGCAGTGGTGGGTCCTCACAGGGTGGCCACCTCACAGGGCTCCTCCGCACCCACAGTGAGCAGCCATGGGGAGTGGGGCGACTGCCCACCCCTGGGCCCCTGCGTGGTCCTGGGCTCTCTCCACCCTCAACCGCATCAGGTGTGACTGCGCTCTCAAGATTTTTAGTGGACATCTTGGCTCCTGGGCACCCCTGTTGCAAGGCCCAGCAGCTGGGGCTTCCCACGGGTGTGGCCGTCCTTCACAGGATGTGGTCACCAGGGCCTGAGCTCCCAGCAGAGGCTTCGCCCAGGCCCCTCCAGGGGGGCGACAAGGGTGCTGCACCTACCTCCCCTGGCTGTGCAGCTCCTCAGCTGCCCAGGCAGGACCAGCCTCTGCCACCCTCATCCGCAGGGCACCAAGGGCCGCCACCCTTTAAGCCATGTGGGAACCTCTGGGCAGTGCGTGGTGAAGCCTGACAAATACTTCTGGGAGAGGAAACTGAGTGAGAGCGCTGGCGTCTTTGCCCTAGTGCGGCCCGTGCTGAAACGGCTTTCCTGACTTTCCTACAGGTTTACATGTCATTTTGCAAGTGGGGTACTTTGTCCAAAGCCTTCTGGGTACAGGGTGGCATCGATACAAGGAATTGGGGCTGTAATCTGAGCTGCTGATGGGTTAATCCAAACTGCGGGAAGCAAATCTTTTAAAGGAAAAGACACCGATAAACCAGGCCAACCACGTACATGTGCTAAAAACCTGGAAACATGGCAAAACCCCAACAAAACCCAAATTGCCAGCCAGGTGCAAGCCTGTTGGGAGGTGGGGGCGAGGGGCAGGCTTGTTGGGAAGCGTGGGGGTTCTGGAGGGCTGGCCAGGGCTACAGGGCAGAGGGCGGCGACGTGGCCAGGCCAGGGCGGTGCTGACCACGCGTGTGTCTGGGACCCTCGGAGTGGTCCCGGGAAAAAAGTCAGTTTCTGACGACGGGCCTGAACTCCCTGTCCAGAGAGGGGTCTGGGAGGAGGGGAGGCACTCTCAGATCCGCAGACAGACAGAAAAGGGCCTGGGCCCAGGGAACACTCAGACCCCCCAGGGGCCAGCCTCGGTGGGCAGAGGAGCTCACAGACCTGTCTGGGGCCCAGTGACAGGGCCCAGGACAGGACCCCACTGGCTGCGCTCCCGCTGTGAGCGCCGGGCAGGGGTGTGGGGGCCCCGGCTCACCTGAGGCCACACTATATTGCCCCTGCAGCCGCAGGACCTGCCGGCTCAGCACTTTTGGACTCAGCTTCTCCAGCCGCAAGTACGTCACCTGAGGGTACTGTCTGCAGGGGGACACACAGTCTCGTCTGTCACCATCTTCCTTTTTAAGTTAATATGTTTGAAGATTTTTATTTTTTATCAAAGTCATACACATGCATAGCTTAAAAATCAAGTAATTCTACAAGCTTTAAGAAAGAGCAGCAAGCTGCCCCACCCCGCCCCGGTCGGGCCCTCTCGTGCACGCCTCCACACACACTCTGAACCGCATCTCCTGGTGACTCTCCTTTAGGCGTGCGACGTCCCACCGTGGAGGCTCCTTCCCGACTCTCCCACAACCGTAGCATCAGGGTTTCCTGTTAGATCACACGTTCTGCGTTTACAGTGTCATGACCATGCCGTGCTCTCAACAGCTAAACCTCCTCTCCTGCTATACTTGGCATTAATACGTCTCTTGCTTTCCTTGTTTTTTCAGGTTTCCGACCTGAGACCTAGCCCGCTTCCCCCGGGCTACCCTGACACACACGGACTTACCAGACGGACGGCTCCTCCCGCCTCCTCTGCAGCTCTCAAGGCTCCTGCCTGTCGCGGCCCTGGGATCGACCCACACCTCTCCCAGCTCTGGGTCTTGCATCCGCCACTTTCCAGGTCATGGTAAAGAGTATCTGCCAGAAGTTTCCCACGATAAGGTCCATGGAATGTATTTGGTCAAGGAGGCCCATGCTCACCCTGAATGGAGAGCTTGGTGAAGCCGAGACTTCTGGGTTAAAATAATGTCCCCTTTGCACTGGGCAGACACTGTTCTCAGACTGCTGTTGAAAGGTCGAACACTTTCCTGTTTCTGACCCTTTGGATGTGACCTGCTCTTTCTGGTGCTTTTGAGGTATCTTGTCCATGGTGGTCAGAAATTTGAAGACCACGTGCCTCAGTGTGGGTCCCTCCACCCACTCTCTGGCCACTCCACAAACCTGCTAAGTCTTGTTCCCGTGTCCTCCTCATCTCGGAACCTGTCTTGAATGAATTCTTTAGTGACTTCCTCCTTTCTGTTTGTTGATCATTCTTTCTGGAATTCCTGTTCTTTGTATGTTGGACCTTCTTGACAGAATCTCTAACTTTTTCAAAGCTTTTCTGATTTTCCTTCCCTTTGTTTATTTCTTTCATACTACTTTTTGGAAGACATTGTCACATTCATCTTCCACGCCTTTTGCTGAGCTTTTTACTTTTCCCCATCATGTTTTTCACTCACAAGGGTTCTGTTCTACAGTCTGAAAGCTCCTTTGCACAGCTCCAGTATTTACTTTGCAGGCACAGTATCCTCTAAAGATCTTAATTACAGCTCTCCAATTGGTTTTAAGTTTTCTTCTGCTTCCTCCAAGCTCCAGCTGGGGTGTTTGTGTGAGCGTGTGCACGGCTGGCCCTGGCTCTCATCCCGTGCGGCACCGAGGAGGAGTCAACACCTCTTCACGTGCAAGGCTGTGCCCAGCAGCTGGTGGCTTCATAGAGGACGGCGTGCCACCTTGCTGGAGCTCTGGAGGGCCCGCGGGGGTTGTTGACCGAGAAGCGTCTGCACATCTCATGCTGAGGGTCTCGCCAGGCTTTTCCCAGTGTCTGAGCCTCGGTTGCCCTCTGCCCTGCTGCCCTGAGCAACCCGGGCCTCCCTCCTCAGTCTTCCTGGCTCTGCACCCCACCCGCTTGCTTCCGGTGCTTCCAGGTTCCCGCTTTCTCGGCCATCAGATGCCGGCACTTGGCCACCTGCTCTCTAGTTTCCAGTTTCCAAGTTTTCATTGCTGTCATTTCTCCTCTTATTCTCTTAATTTTTCTCTTCATTTTAAAGCAGAGAGGCAACAAATGCTCATGTGTATCTACCGTTTTAAACCGTGAGTCCTATTTTTCAAACAAATTGCTTGTGGAGCCTGCTTCCGGTGCTTCCAGGTTCCCGCTTTCTCGGCCATCAGATGCCGGCACTTGGCCACCTGCTCTCTAGTTTCCAGCTTCCAAGTTTTCATTGCTGTCATTTCTCCTCTTATTCTCTTAATTTTTCTCTTCATTTTAAAGCAGAGAGGCAACAAATACTCATGTGTATCTACCGTTTTAAACCGTGAGTCCTATTTTTCAAACAAATTGCTTGTGGAGCTGTAACTGACATATGGTAAGGCATACAAGTCACGCAGGTCTCGGTATAGAACTTTCCAGCACCCGAATGCCTCTCCCGTGCCCACTCCTGTCAGTCCCAATCCCAAGCCGAACTCTGTGTGAATGGAATCGTGGGATACACTGTCTTTGCAGCCCGGCTTCTTTCACGCAACGCTACGTCTGTGACATTCATCCATGTTGCTGCGTGTGACAGTGGCTTAGTCTTCTTCACTGCTGCGCTCCTGACCTGTGATCTCTTTATCAGTTCTACTCTACGGATACCTGGGCTGTCTCCAGGTCTGGCGATGATGAGTAAGGCTGCCGGGCACCGTCCATCTTTCTGTGGACGACACTCCCCGTCCCTGGGGCCCACGCTGACAGTGGAACTGGGCAGCACGGAGCACAGGGCTGGCGTGTATCGTGCTTAAGCAGAAACTGGTAAGCACTTTGTGAAGAGGCTGTAGCACTTTACACCCGCGCCTGCAGTCCGAGCTGTGCCGCACCCTGACCAACACTCGCTACATCCGACTCTGAAATTTCAGCCATTCTCGTGGGAGGTGGCGGTGTTTCTTTGTGGTTTAATTTGCGTTTTCCTGATACTCGCGACATTGAGCAACTTTTCATAGGCTTAGTGGCTATTTGGATACCCTCTTTTGCAAATTATTTATTCAAGTCTATTGCTCATTTAAAAAAGAATGATTTATTTGTCTTTTACTGTTCACCAGTTTGTAGGTTTTCTTTGTCTTCTGTGTTTAGTATTCTGGACAGTCTTTTGTAGACCGTGTACTGCAAGTGCCTTCTCCTGGCCCGGACGCTGCCTCACCACTCTGTCACCTGGTGCACAGAAGTTATGATATAGGGCACGCTGTCGTCTGGCCCACCGCCAAAGCAGAAAAACATCGTCAGCCCTTGTTATTCACAGTGCTTTTCATGTCCTATTTGAGGAATCTTTATTGCAAGTATAAAGAAATACAACTGACTTTTATAAATTTACCTTATAACCAGTGATCTTGCTAAATTTACTCATTAATTCTAATAATTTATCTGGACATCTTTTTGTTGTTTTTTCCTACATATAAAATATCTTCTGAAAAAAGACAGCTGTTTCCTTCCACCTGATCTGCACACTTCCTGCTTACCTTCCCTGCGTCCTTGCACTGCTGTGGATCTCTAGGACACCACCGATTGGACGTGGCAGTAACAGCGATCCTTTTCTTGTTCCAAATTCAGACGGAAAGTGCTTCGTGTTTCATCATTAAATATGATGCTTTAGAGGAACCAAATCTGCTCTCCCATCTGACACAACTGAAAAAACCAGACAAAATACATGAAATTACAGCTCTCAGGCACTGGATGACAGGAAGCTCAAGACAGGACCCTGGGACATGGGAAAGGAGCCCGACAGTCGCCGTGCACAGGAGCACCCAGGAGAAGCCCAGCCGCTTCCTGGGTTACGGGGAAGAGTCCCTGAGATGCTCAGAAAAGAGCTCTGGACACCCAGAAGGTTCCTCAGGACTCTGCCTGAGTGTGGGTCAGCACACTTGTGTGGGGAAAGTACCCAAAGCCTAGGAAAGAACCACCTGAGAAGACGGGAGGGAAAAGTTATCAAGCCTTATGAAGAGCTGGGAATGGTGTCTGTTCCCAAGAGCTAGAGTTAAAAACACTTCGTAACTTGCAGGGCACTGATTACAGCACTGAGAAGGTTCTCGCTTTAGAAATGCGGAGAAGTTGACCGTAGATTAAACATTGCTCTGATCTCACCGGATAAAGCTTAGAAGTAAGCCCAGAAAGGATCAAACTGTTTTCAAGGTACTTAAACACATACAAAGCAAAGCCTATGAGTATTTTTTAGGAAAACAAAAATATCTAGCACCTTAAAAGCAAAATTCACAAAGTCTGTCATCCAGTAAAAAAATCACCAGGCATGCAAAGAAGAGGAAATAGGACCCAGAATGTGGAGAAAGACTGGTCAATGGAAACTGACCTAGAAATGGAACAGAGAGCAGAGTTACCACGTGACAAGATGAAGGACACAGACTACCAGTGTCAGGAACGGGCAGCTCTGCAGACCCGCAGGTCATAAGGGACACGATGAACAAGTTCAAGTCGGTGAGTCCAACGACTTAGATAAAATGGACAAATTTCTTGAAAGACTCGAACAACCAAAGCTCACTCAAAAAAATAGGTCCCCTGTATAGCCCTATATTAAAGAAAGGGAATGTGTAGTTAGAAATAATAATACCAATTCTACAAAGTCTCTTTGAGAAAATTGAAAAGCAAGGGATACTTTTATACTTTATGAGGCAAGTGCCATTCTGATACAAAAAGCAACCAAATATTACGAGAAAAAAAAATAACAGACGAATATCCCTCATGAATATAGATAAAAAATACCTCAACAAAATTTTAGCAAATGACATACAAAAAGTATATCCAAAAGATAATACATCATGACCAAGTGGGGCTTATCTCAAGCACGCAAGGCTGGTTTTAACATTAGGAACATT